GACCTGTGCAAGGCCTATGATGACGCGGGTGGAGGTCCTGCCAAGGAGACGTGGGACTCTATGTACCTTCCCCCGATTGCCGCCAGGCTCAACGGGAAGATCCAAGGCCTGAACCTTACAACGAGTCAAGTCGACCAGATACCCTACTTGTGTGGATTCGAGACCCAGATCACCGGCCGTCGAAGCCCCTTTTGCGATATCTTCACACAGGAAGAGATCTTGCAGTATGAGTATGCGCAGGATTTGCGTTATTGGTACGGCACCGGTCTGGGATCCGATATCGAGAAATACCAGATGTTGCCTATCGTTGACATGACTGTGCAACGCTTTGTTGATGGTCCAGACGCGACCTACAAGACGGGCAATGGCACTTTTGTCCCTCCAAAGATCATGGCCAATTTCGCAAATGATGGCCAAATCAACCAGCTGGCCGCTGCGATCGGTGTTTTCGACAAACAACAGCAGCTTCCTGGTAACATGTCGTTGTCGGACCGACTCTTCCGCTCCTCTCAGGTTGTGAAGATGCGCGGAACTGTTGCATTCGAACGCCTCTCTTGTCCTGCTCCTGCCCACAATAGCACATACGGCTCTGGCTATGCAACCAACTACAACGGCACCGCCTCTCAAGAAACTTTCGTGCGCATCCGCATTAACGAGGTTGTCTACCCTGTTGTGGACTGCACCAGTGGTCCTGGCTCATCTTGCCCCCTGTCTCAGTACCAAGATATCATCAAGGCGAAGCGTGCAGAGGCCGGTGACGTGACCAAGCTGTGCAACATGACGGGCGAAGGCCTTGCGGCACAGCCAAAAGCAACCTTTTTCTTCGATAATACACTTCCGTGGCAGACAGTTGTTAAGCCCTAGACATAAAATCAGGTGTTCGATAGTCCAAAATCATGTTATTCATCGCTGGCGTTCCCACGTATGCTTCTGTGCCGCTTGATGTGTTTTTGTGCCGCAATAAGGCTGTTGTCAACGTTGCGCAATTGACATGGGCCGCACTTTCTACCCCAAGCACGGTCGAGTTGCTGAGATCGCAAGGCTCAACGTGCATCGCATTCATACAGCGGCTTCGGCCACCGACGATTGACATGTACAGGGCGCGCGCGTTCGTCACTAGGACGCGCCAACCCCACTTTCCAGCTATTGGATCGCGCCTGTGCACAAGACGCACGCCCTACACCCAAATGACCCTCCTCCGCTCTTCACGCAAGCCAACCTGCACATCATGCAAGACAGAATACCAACAAGAGCTTCAAAAACGTACGGCGCGATCCTGCGGCGTCGTTGGCATATGTCGATGTGACCTGGCTCTCGTACGACTAGCCTTTTACACCCGTGCCTCAGGAGTACAACACTCGCACCGCGCATTCTTTGCTACCCGTCGGGAAGTCCACAAGCACTAGCGTATTCCGGGAGAAAGTGGCTTCAGCGCAAGTCTCCCATTGGACCCATCTGGCGCAATGCTGGCGTCAAACTGTCTCCACATTGCGCCTCTCAGGCGTATGGTCATGTTTTCGACAAGCAAAGCCGCTGAAACAAGCCTCCCACGCCTTTCAGGTCAATTACCGAAACAGTCAGCACTGCGACGGCAAAGTCATGTTGGTCCTTGGAGTCATAGGGTGTGCGATTCTCGGATGTCTGAATCGGTACAGTGGCCTGAGCTGTGGGATGAGTATAAGATGGTGTTGTGCGCAGCTGAAGTGATCTAGACATTACCAGCACATTCTTCTTCTGACAACGTGGGCTCAAACAAATCGGCAGATTTGGTACCGGTCCCACAGAAAGGACAAAGCACCCTGATCCACAGTATTCAATCGAGTACGTTTGCCATCATTCTCGACACGCAAGCTTCAAATCGGCATCAACATCGGCGTATCGAGCAAGGCTCATATATACACCACTACACCGCCTCTAAAGCCATCTGAATCGAAAGAAACACGCCCAAGTTCTCGTATATCGAAGATGTCAGGCTCTTCCGCGACGACTCCTCGCACTTCTTTCGAATACATCAAGACACCAGTCCAGGCATCTTCATCATCAACGTCTGTTGTTTCGTCATCGGCATCTACACTGAAGGAACCGAGCAAAGCTCGGGGCCTCTGGAACTCCATCAAGCGCCACGCGAAAGAGCACCATGAGGGCATGAACGCAGCATATGCTACATACTATGGCTCGGGCGCGAACGGACAAGGGCAGAAAGTCTGGGAATATCGAAGAGGAAGCAAGCAGGGAACGACGGATATGAAGCGACAATAGTGACAGATGTGTTGGTATGGTTCCGCGTTTCAGGGTTGGATTCAGCAGCCTCGACATGCTGCATGAGGCTCATGTGCTTCAATTGTGTGTACTAGGGGGGTATTTGGCGTTGGAGTTGATGCTTATATACCTGTTTCTTTCCTGGAAGTACTATTTTTTGCCGAATCGTATGATGACTCTTCGTCGCTTTATTTTGTGGCGTCGCTGCTGAACACGGCAGCGGTATGTGATTCGGCTCACAGGGGAAGTGCTGTTATAAGGCTTCCAACCCAGGACAGCCCGTGGACTTTTCCTAGACCCTCTTTGTGTTCGCCCGGAAGGGCGTATTATGGATTATCCTTGCGCTTCATTGGTGCACATGCGTTGAAACTATCATTACTACGCAGACCAGCGGATAAAACTCAATACAGCCGCCTCCAACATGCAACTATGCTATCTACTCCTGGCTCCTTTCTACTAGATCTTCGATCCCAGTTCTAACTCCCTCGATGATATCACGCATGAGCTGCTCTTCCACAGCATCCTCAGCCCAGCAGAAGTTCAACGTCGCGTTTCCATCGCCACCTGTTACAACATTGAGTTTCAAAGCATTGGCCACAATATTGGGAGATTGGCTGAACACCATCCGACCGACAGTCCATACTCCTTCACTCTGAGTATGCTTCCAGACTCCTGCACTTGACAATTCTGCTGCAGACTTGCGAGGCTTACCTAATTTGTCGAAGAAATGTTGCTGCATAGAAGAGATGTATTTCAGCAGCGCGACGGGGTTATCGACGCCAGATTTGGCGACTTCTGTGGATATGGTGGATTTCACTGCGCGTGCAGTGTCCCATGAGAACTGCTGTAGGACACTCAGTCCTGCTGAATCTTTGAGTTTGGGTTCTCGAGATGCGACGCGCTCGTGAAGGTAGGCATATTCGGCAATCGTCATGGTCATCTGCTGTGCCTCCACGTTCAGGAATTTCTTTATCGATATCGGGCCTTCAATGTGAAGCCTCTCACAGTCTTCTGCTGAGAGGCAGGTGAAGAGTGACGCGGCGAGAAGGCATTGTAATGTTGCTGTTACGCTTGTCTTTTCAGATCGGCTGACTTGAGCCAGCTTGTCCGTAGTTGCTTTCGACAGGACGAGTGTGCGATAATGTGGTGGCGGAATCGGCGTAGCGTTCGGCTGTATAGCGTTGCCCGCCCATAGCTTCGGAGGTCGCTTTGCGAATACCGAGGGTAACAAGGCACCAAGAATGGCCTTGATGAAGTAAGGCCACGTTATAGTCATTGGATGTAAGTCCTCTAATGGCGGCGCTAGATCCGCAGACGAAGATTTGACAATCGCATCTGCGATGCCTTCCGGAGTGTTGAGGCCAGCCAGGAATGATTTGTGAAACGAGAAGGCTGACGTTCCGTCTGCTAGCGCATGATGCCACATCCACGTCGCCGTGAACTTGGATGTGTCTTGTGCTGAAGTCAGGACCAGCAGCCGCCAGAAAGGCTTCGAGCCTATGTTGTCCTTAAAATCGCGGCTATGCTGCTGCCCTAGATATCGATCGAGCTCTTCGTCCGCCTCGCCATCGTTTGGGAATGGTGTCTTTCTCTCGCATATCTCTACGCAGGTGCGTAGATCGATCTCAGGGAGTTGCGCGAAGTATACGTTGGGATAGGGTTGATCTTCATTCAGCGTGATGGTTGTCAGGACCGGGTGCTGGGCAATAACTTTTCGGAGCGCAGTATAGATTTGCAGTTCGAGCGACGATTGAGGATTCCTTGATGCCACATATTCTGCGGTAAAGCCAACGTTCTTGTAGAACCCGAGATGGTGTCGCGCGGTGCTGTATGTTTCTAGTCTGCCGCATGGGCGCAGCTTCTTGAGGTTTGAAAGGTCGGCCATTCTGCACAGGCGGGAGCGGCTCTGAGGAAGCAAGAGAACTCATGGGTATCGCAGCATCCTACAGACAATATGTAGATCTGTAAATCCCTCACACTCGCAAGGGACGCCGCAAGGGGATGGAGGGATTACCAATGCAAGTACTGACTCGTGTCGCAACTCAACAGAGGACAGCGCGGCGAGAGCTCTTGCTACATCATGAAGAGTCGGACGTGCATCGCTGGCGAACTCGGCCTACTACGTACTCTCGTATACCCGTGGCTAGCTATACTGATGGTGTTGTGTTGATGCATTTGTTGTGGCATCGAACGCCGCCAAGACCAGGCAGGTGCTCCTAGCTTTCCGACGGGATCAATCCCGGTTTTCCTACCTAGGTACGTTCGTGCATTGAAAAACACGACCAACACGACCAACTCGATCCAACACATGACGACAGAGCCGCGAGACGCACCTGACAGTCCAACGGAGGGCTTCTTGGCTAGCTTTTATCCTCCTACCATAGGGCTGAAGGATCAATTCAACCCCAAAGATGGGTTCACGACATGCGCAAGCGTGCACCAACGGCATGGGTCCAACATTAACCGGGGGCCAAAAGGACTAATGGGGCAAGCACCATACCTTGAGCGGCATAACACCATATCGACGGGCTCTAGAAGGTCCTCGTATCTGGAAATGCCCTCTAACCGGTATGATGAGTTCCCCAATCACGGCAGTCCTATAGAAAATGTATGCCTCCCGGCTTCAGCCTCGGATCGCCATCGCTTCAGCCACAGGCAGGCCGTGACTTTGATATAGAGAGAGCGATGAGATCAATGCTTCACACGGCGAGTGCATCGCTGTCCTGCCTTTACCGGCCACCATGGCTCCCTACCCGACGCCTCTCGAGGCAACATTCACGTTGGATGCACGACTGGACTGGAAACTGGAGCCACGATCAACAGACAACGAGTCACCACCGTCCAAGAGTCCAGCAGAAGAAAGAGCTGCTGCCTCGATGTTTATTGGTATATGTCTGGCCGTCACATTTGTACTCGCAGCGCCTATAGTATGGGTATGGCTTGCGGATCGAATCAGAAGGCGGAAACTCGATCCCTTCAGGAAACTTAGGGATCTAGAGCGCGAACGGAAGCGCCCCGGAATTGATCCACCTCCTTATGCCAAAGCATCGTCCAAGGATTCGATATGGGCGAGGCAGGAGAAGTATGCAACCAAGAAACCGCCGAGAGTCATCACGGCCGATCAGGTTCTGGGCATCGACAAACGATCCTACCTGCAACGCATCATCCCTCAGAGTGGTTGGTCAACTCCATGCTTTGTCTTGGAGCTTCCACTGATATGTCGCTATAGAAGGATCATCACAACTACTCACCGTAGCGCCTGCACACTTTGGCTGGGCTAGACAAGCCGCCACTTCTTCGGTGGACGAGCAATACATCAGCCCATGGGACGCAGAGCATACCCCGAATCCAGTCATTTTTCCATGGCTCCAAAAGAAACGACCATTCCAAAACGACATCAATAGCGAAAGCTCGGAGAGACTGCAGGTCATGGCCATGAGCAATAGTTCATCACCACTTTTAGTCTCACCAGCGGGGCCCTCCTCATATGCTCAAGCTGACAACCCCTTCCTTGACTCCCCCACAGAATACACAAGCTCTCCACCTGACAGTGAGCAATCTTACGAGGCTTCAGAAACAGCTCCCAGAGAGCGTCCAGCGTCCAACCAATTGAGCGATCAAGCGCAAAACTCCGATGGGTCTTCGAGCCTTTACCGATGTGACACATGTCAGACGACATACCATTCGCAGGGGCAGTTGAAGTAAGTCGCCAGCCTGGCGTTTCATTCGCAAATATTGAAAAGATCTGGAGCTAACACACTCTTAGTGTACACTTGAACCGCAAGCACCGACGGCGGTATCGATGCAGGCACTGCGAATCAGCTTTCGCACTCAAAGCTGATCTCAAGAGACATGAGCGCGGCGTTCACAAGGACATTTACGCAACGCAAAAGTTTTATTGTCCCAACCCTACGTGTTCAATCCCCGAAAAGAAGTTCACGCGTAGAGATAATTTCGAAAGGCATGTGCGAAGATGCCGTATTCGCGAAATTTGACGGGTAGAAATGATCAAGACATGAGTAGTATTCCGAAAGCCTTAATTGTCCGGTCGCAGTCGACTACATACACTACAACATCTCGGCGGACATGTTACGGCACGCATTGTGAGTAATGCTCGCTGCTTACTTTACACGTTCCCTGCGCACAGGTCGTTGGACCAGTCCACGTGGCACCTCCACACTGCGCGTATAGTGCGGCTCCCGCAGCCGGCGCTTCTGGTGCTGGAGCTGGCTGTTGAGGCGCTGGTGTGGAGCCACTGCCGCCATCTTGCCCAGCCGCACAAGTCAGTGGCGCAGGCCCTGGAATGGAATAGGCCTTGCCACCCATGTAGGGCTTCCCAGTGGTGTCATAGATACTGAGTTGGATACCGGGGTCGTTGGCTTTGTAAGCACCAGGGAAAGAGACGAAGTTGGAGCCCTTGTTTGTGCCACTACCCGAGACGCGGATCTGTGCGCATTCCATGTAGAATTGGGCGCCGCCTGTTGAACATCAGCAGGTTGATAGTGCGATGGCCTGGGCTCATTACCTTGCGCCGAAGCGCTGTGGAGGGCGATGAGCTCGACACGCAGCAGATAGTCGCCCGGAGCAACACAAGTAGGCATGTTGAAGTAGTGCCAACCTCCGTTGGCAATCATCGTGTCCACAGCCCATTTTCCGTTACTCAGACCGTCTTGGGCAACCTTGAACCATTGAAGGCCTGTGGTGCCAGTAGTTGCGGCATTGTCTACCTTGGCAAGGTAGTATTGTATCGGCCCTGCGGTGGATACATTAGCTATCTGCTTCTACATGACCGAGAGAGCTATCATGAAGCGCCACCTACCTTTGTGGCTCGCAGCAATAGGATGATCGGGATCGTTAGCACCCTGCTTTCCACCTATGACGTGTCCCCACCTGTTCAGCGAAGTCAGTGTTCATCTTCCATACGGTTCGTACATCGGAGTTCCCACCATGCGCCGACCTTTGCTCCAGCCGGAATGCTTATCACAGTGCTATCTGTATGCTTGATGTCTTTGTTGCAAGCAAAAGCCGCGTCGTTGACATTTGTGATAGGGTAGTCAGAATCGGGGGCGCGGACGCCCTTCAGTTGACCCTGCTCCACGCCGTTGACAGAGACTTTCTGAAAAATGGTATGGGCTGAGACAACACTTGCCAGCGCGAAGAGGATAAGATTCTTCATATTGGAGAAGTGTATTACGGTAGGGGTTTGAGACTTGCCGGAGTGGATGGGAGTGCAGTGAAGTACCATTCAAGATACTGATGGTCATCATGATTTATCATGGATTATATTAGCTAAACAAATTGGAGCGCGTGGCCTAAGCTGGTCGAAATGACTGATAATACGAATCTCGATAATGCGAGCCATGTGCTGTGGTCGTAGATTGCCGTACCGATCTTTGGGCGAGTCTTTGCAATCGTACACTATACATTAGATTATGGGTGGCTAAGATACCTTTATATGCTGATCGGCCTGGGTGCTCCGTGCCTAATCGGACTAAGATTAGATGCCCCATAGTATGTCAAGTCATATGCAATATGTCGCTTGCGCAAGACCTGACAGGGATGCGGACACACAGGCTATGGCTGGTCGGAGTTGGCCACGCTCATGACGGGTTCTGTAAGTCTGACGATATAACAATGAGATGAAGTTTTGTATTGTGACCATTTGAGGGCAGACCTCTGTAAACTACTGGCGCCTACTGGTGCGTTGCTCGCTGAGAAGGCAGGATCCATCAAGCAATGCAAGAGGACATTGGATTGGTGCGTCCGTCTGGTCGATCAAGTACTGGGCAACCGCGCTCAGACAACCAAGCAAAGCTCCATGGCTTTTCCCTGGTTCTGCTAGCAGATATGTCACCGACCGCTTCGGAGTGAACACATGGTTGGGCCTGAGAAGAAGAGGAGCACTTGCACAGCGTATCGTAACACCACAGTTTATCCCTCAATGCTGTCCGCCGGTTCTATTCCGTCTTCCACGAAAGACCTGAGTGTATGCGCAGCCAGCGGTTGGCAAGTCTGCGAGGTGGATGTGATGATGGAGCGCTGCGAGTAGCGGGTTGCGCGCCGGGAAGCGATGAGGCACGCTGTGGAGCAAACGTACGTTTTGTCGTGAAACAGAAGACTGCCTTTGACGAGGTTAGCAAAGTAGCTTGCGCAAGTGTAGTAGGTGATCTTACCTTTACGAACGATTGAACCGTTATAGTGCGTGAACGCTGCCACTTCATCCAGACTTGCCGTGTTGTACACCTGACAGATTCGATATCACTACTCCATTGAGCCATCATGTTGGTACATGCATCATCAGGGTCGCCGGTGTTGTTCAGTTCTTGACCCGCCCAGTATGACGATCGCAGGTGTCAGTAACAGACAAGGTGTCGCTCGGTTCCTGATTACTCCAATTGCGAGTGTAGCGTTTCGAATAGAGAGTGACGCGACGCTGCGTGAACAAAAGATTTGCGGAGGCTTTGCGACCTGTTTCGTCCGTGGACATAATGGAGAGTCTCTACTCTTTCGATATCGGCACCGAGAGTTGAGTCGAGGTTCTGGACACGGAAGGTCGCGAAGCAGGCTCCTGTCGTGCCGGTGTCGCATCTCTCTTGAGCATTGACTGCCATTTCGATGTGGTGATCTTGAGTAGATCTTGAAACAATGTTTGGTCGGAAGGAGCCGGATTGCCGTCTAGGTGGTACATTATAGGCGAGGTAAACGACAGTGGAGAACAATGTTGAGGAGACGTGTAATGTGAAAAATGGATGAACGAGTACGGGGGAGCCGGTAAATACTTCGGAGCAAATTCCGATTTCGCACTACTCGTGCCTGGTGCCACCTGCAGGACGCGTCTTACATTTCCCAGCGGCACAGTCCAGCCCCGCGATTTTACGACGATCATCTGCAACCCCACGGTTGGGAGTTGGGGCTAGGCCGTGTCGCTGTTCGGGACGTTATTTAGTGGTAGTCACACCAATCACTTCTGCGTTTGACTGTTGGTTGTCAGGCTTCCCGTGAGTCGAGGCGCCAAAACGAAATTCCAGTCCACGATGGTCGCCTTTGAGCCGTCGGTCTTGGTCACACGTCGGTTGCGATCTGGCGACACCGACAAATGATGCCCGCGTCATTACCTTACTGGTTGAGCGACTCACCGCCACCGAAGCCTCAGGAAAAAAGGAAAAAGTCCTTTCTGCAATAGAGCAAGAGGAATCCGTAAGCGACGTGGCAATCACACGCTCATTCCAAAGTGAGGCTGCAGCAGAGCCAAAGACGGAGACTACATCGGAGTAGCGCCGTAAGTATCCATTGTGCGACTTGCCCCAATTGCCATGATTCAGCCATAAAGAAGGTCGTATCATCTTCGAGCTTGATCTGATCGACTTTCACGTCTCGTTGAAAGAGCGGAGAATGACACCCCAGCGCTGCCGGACGAAGCGGTGAAAAGCTGCAAACAAGACATGCAGGTACGCGTATGCTGAAAAAGTACCTTTCGGAACGTGACGAGGGCCAAAGCTACGGGATCCCAGTTGGTGGTTGGGAAGTATCCTGGCCCCGCGCAAGAGCCAGCTGACGTAATCACCGGCGCGGAAGCTTGGGCGTGCATCTTCCCGTAAGCCTTCGAAGGCGCCCCATCGTACAATCGTATACATCACTTTTTCAGTTCCAGTGTCTCCATCAAAACCTAAAGTCGAAGGATAAATCGCACAATATGACAGCACGAGACGGCATAGGCTCATAAATCCGACGGGTGGCACTGTGCGGTGTTGGACCATCTGCACCTGCCCGGCTCATGACGAGAGACCGGACGCTTGCATGCGAAAGAGAAGCTACTCTTTGAGCCTCTGTGGATTCCTGCCTCACCAAGAGCAAGCACCTGTAGAAACACCGTAAACGTGAACGTGTGTAGGTGAGAAAACGGGAAACCGGCACCTATGGCTACACCCATCTGTGGATGGGATCAGAACACATCTCCAATTTCTGAAGTAGCATGTGGGGACTCCAGATTCTGTTCCGGAGTTTTGGAGAAGAGCCCTGGCCTCGCGCGCGCGGCGAACGCAGCCATGGCTTCACGACTCGGGTACCTGTCTCTGCACCTGGTACCCGGGTCATCGTTCTCTGGCACTGAATCCACAATCCGGTCCTTCGTAACGTCACCTCATCCAAAAGAGCTCTTACTGAAACTTGGCACGCGTTAACGATACGAGTGCAACGCAGGCGTCACCACTTTGTAGAACAGCTCCTCAACCAACACTTGTGGATGTTGTATCAATGCGTGCTGTTGGATGACAGTAACCGCGCCCCATGAATCGAACACTCATTTCTCTTTGAAGTGTGGCAACCCCACTAATGGCTTTTTGGTGTACAAACCCAGAAGGGTAGCACACAAAAACGCTGATCAAACACTACTGAGCATTCAAGACGCGATTACGTCTGCATACCTCCTTCCCGCACGGGCAGCCGCACCAGCAGGAACCGACGGATGGAACACGTTTTCACCGCAACATTGGTAGGTATTGAGTAAGGTAACTGCAGGTCGACAGCAACTCACTCGTTATTGGGCTCTCGCGCTTGTCGCTACCACCGAACTTTCATTTCCTCGCTCTCCGAGGATCGCTTTACTAGCACGTA